GTAATCTCCTAAGAGAAACAGAGAAGTTTTCAAGCTCACTTTGGGGACTCTGGAATAATGCTTTAGACCAGTGTTTCTGAACCTTGTCCACTTTAAGACGTGTGGACTTCAATTCCCAGAATTCCCCAGCCAGCCATGCTGGCTGGGGAATTCTGGGAGTTGAAGTCCACACGTCTTAAAGTGGACAAGGTTCAGAAACACTTCTCTGGAGGGTTATTAAAAGAGTCTGGACAGTCACTTCACAAGGTGGTTTAAAAATGTTGGATTTGGACTAGATTATCTTTGTCCCTCCCAACTCCATAATTCTATGATTGTCTACATACTTTCAAGGATTTCACTTAAAGATCAGTTGAAGTGCTTACCTGGACAAACAAGAGCAACTCTACTTGATCCAATAAAAATCAATAATTTGAACTATGACTAGTACCACTGATATTTAAAGGATGATTAAACTTGAATCCAATCTACAATTTGCCCATAATCTTGAATGGCCCAGCTAAATGTCTGTGGCACAGTAGATCTGTGATAGTAAAATAACCTGGGAGCAGTAGGGGAATTTCCATCTTCCATTCCTGGCATTTCCAATTAAAAGGGGCAGGAAACAATTTATGTGGAAGACCTCCCTCAACATGGCTTGAGAGCCAACCGTGATCTGATTCAGACATCTTTGCTAATCCAAGGTTTACAGATTAAACCACAATTTTCTGAGTTTGCACAACATGCAATCACGACTAAACTAAGTTCTGTGCAATGTGTAAACCCAGTCAATACTGGCTAGATGACTGATCAGGCATAAACCAGATTTTTACATTCCATATCAGATCTGAAATTCAATCTGATCTGAATTCTGGGACTTCATCTGCTTGATTTTGTTGCCTGTTCCCACAACCAGCAGGATAAATTACATCCTAATTTTTGTAGGATGAGGAAATGAAGTTGAATTATCTAAGATGTTTTCAAATCTAGCTTTGGATCTATGACCACGTTGGAAGAGTGTTTTGTAGAGCGTTAGACAAGGAGGTGGTTGAGCCAGCCACTAGTCAAGGACACAAAAATGCCAAAAACTGTCAACAAATGTAGAAATTCCTTAGCACATGCATTATCTGTATACAATATGGAAAGTTTCCATAAATTGGAGACTCCAATTCTAAAGTCTGGATCTTGGGTTGTCTCTGTGCTGATCAGTCAGGAGAAGATCAAGGAGCTTCAGATGGGTCCCCCAATGTTTCTCCTGCATTGTGGGAGAATTCCTGCTCACCTGTTGTAATGCAAAGGAGAGATTTACTAGGACACTGCCTACTTCCTTTCTGTACTCATAACCAACTTAGTTCCTTGAATATGTGCTAAACTACAGCGCTCAGTAGCCATCAATTCACTGGCCATCTAGCTGAATGGGTCCATCACCACTAGAGTGCAAAAAGAAAAAAAAATGGGGGAAGGAGACAGGGACTGGAAACCTTTTCTGCCCGTCTTTTCCTCTCCTTCCACAATACAAAGGAAGTTTGTCTCTACTGCATATACATGCGCGCGCACGCACGCACACAAACACAATTGAATCCTGATGGATTTCATTTGACATTAATACTGCTTTACTGACAGATCTGGAAGGGTAAAGAGGATTGAACATATGGCCAAAGGTAGCAAGGGACAGCCAAATTAGCAATGGACCAGAGCAATTAACCCCTTGGGTATGTCAAGTTTTAGCTATTTGTGAAATGTATATCCTGCTTTTCTTCCAGAAAGTTTGAAGGTAGCATACATCTAGCACTCCCTCCAGGGAGTTTTCTCACAACAACAATCCTGTGGGGCAAGTTTGCTAAAGGAGAGTGACTGGCCCAAAGTCATCCAAATGAGCATCTGTGGCTGAGAGTGACTTGAACCCAGGTCTCCCAGAGCCTCTCCCAACTCCTTACCCACTACACCAAACTACCTTACCATCAGAGTCTGTGCATCAGCATGAAAAGGAATGTCTTAACTGAGAAACTGAGGTGGGGAGTTTGGCAGTGAATCCCAGATGGAAGAGCCAGCGAAATGTGGGTTGTGATTTCACTACAAGAGGAACAGTGAGGCAAGAGCTCCTGCTGGCAGTTTTTCAGAAGAGGCATACTAGAAAGGAGTGTAAGGAATGAGAGGAACATCCTGGATCCCAGCATGAGAGTCCGTAAGCCTCTCGGATTTATTGCCTGCATTCTAATGAGATTCAATCCTAAAGGGGTTTTATTCCATTTATACCTCCCCTTCCTCCCTATGCAAACTAACATATGCAGTTCTTCTCCCTACATCATTTTATCTTCACATCAAATCTGCAAGGCTGTGTGACGATGGCTAGTTCACAGTCAGCTAAAGAGGTCTGTCATGGAGCGGGAATCGGAACCCAAGTCTCTTCGATCCTAGCCTGAAACTCAACCCAATCTATCAGCCATCCTTTTGGCTACACTTTGCCTCCTCTTTATGTTCACATATTCTACCACTTGAAAACACTCACTCCTGTTTATGATGCTGTTAGATATATGTTGTTGTTGTTGTTGTTG